GCTATCTAACCTACAATCGGCTAACATCTGTCAGTAGAGGGCAGCCGATTAGGTTAGACATCGATGTTGACTTAGATTATATAGGATATCCACCACTCTATGAAACTTCCAGCTGCTTGATTGTCTAGATATTGTTCTTCTTTTCATACTTAATGCTGCATCAGTTGAGTTTGATCTATTAAGTCGTGCTTAAAATATCAATCTCTAGCCTGCCTCCTGGTTGCCGATTAGAGTAGCATCGGGGTTTCAGCCGATCTTATCTAATTTAACTATGTTTGCTCTATGTGCTTCATTGATATGTTAAATCTGCCCTCTATGTTAAGATCTTGTTGCATTTAAGTATATTAGGCTTTTGTTTGATATATTCTACTTGCTTTAATATCTTAGTATAGAGTGGTATCAGAGTATTAGCCGATACATGCTAGATCTATCTGATCGGCTATGCTATGAACATATATATAGTCCTATTATTAATATATATTTCAATCTAAGTGATTATACTGTCTCGGCATGGCGACCAATCTATCCTAATCACTTGATTTAAGTATATATCGATATGAGGAGTGTATATTGTTAATATCTACAGCCGATTGAGTGGATTTAGTTCTTTCCTAATTATTTATGACTGCCGATCGATACATATATGACATCGGCCCCAACATAAATGATATGTCATCGGCACTTAGCTGATCGGCTATCGTTTATAGGTTTAACCGCGGTTTCTTTGTCTTTGTTTCTTGTTGATTGCAGGATCAAATCAACTGGCACGCTAGCATACCCAAAGGCGAGTTTTGGACCTGCACTGGAGTTAAGCAGATCTCCCAGGCCTAGTGTTTTTCATCAATAGTAAGAGAGTGAGGGGAAGCTCTGGAAGGAATGCCCCAAAGTATCTGAGTTCTCTCCAAGAATTTCCGGAGGAGTGCCAGGTTTGTCAGTTTTCTTCCATCAAAGGTCTAGAGAAACACCGGAGTTGTCGACCTTCTTCTTTCTTTTATCTTGGCAGATGCTTCTTTTATAAAATAAGTGTTCGAAATCTCTGATGTTATTTAATTAGTTTACTTAAGTGAGATATATCCTCATCGGTGCAGGTTCATCGCTTAGCTAGTTTATAATTAAGTGCTATAGTAGTAGGACTCCGGATAAAGAAGAAAGTTCTTGCACGAGGCTAGAATAGTAATTAATAACTTGGCATGGTGTCTATGTTAGCAGTTACCTCCGTTTGTGTACTCCACGCACAGTGTGGTAGGCGGCAGGTGGTGACAACGATATCAATCGTTTGCATCTCTCCACATTCGGTACATCATAGAGCTCAAGCCGGACTCACCCTAGCAGACCAAGAGAAGTCCAACATTCGATAGAGGTGTACCTTTAACTTAAGATAATTAGTTAAATCTATAGGAATCCTCTCTAGCCATTCGTAACATCAGTTGTTGTCCTTGGGTGAAATCCTGTTGGTAGATATACACACGTTTCTTTTATTGTATACCGTTGGAATACTCTTCCTCTTCGTACACTCCGACGGCAGGCATGAAGTAGGAGGCAGCGCTGAGAGCTAGACCCAGCGATTGTGCGGGACGGCGCGACAGTGCGACACGGCGCTGCGAGCTGGAACCAGCGTGTGAGTAGGGGCTAGATCCGATTTGAAGTTTTTTTTTCCCGTATCTGTGTATTATGTATGGATCAGATTTTGTATTATTTGTGTGCGGGAGAAATTTAGGCCCATCAACAGGCTTGAAAAAATTGACTCCTCTGTGTCGAACAGTTCAAGGCCCTCCATGGTGGTATTGCTGTACCTTGATAAAAAAAATTGCATGGCAAAACTTTTTTTTTCCTCTCTTTCTCTGTATTATCATCCTGTACATAAACCTCTACTATTATCTAATATAGCACCGTAAGAGCCTCTCATGCTGTTTAACGGAAAAAAATGTGAGCATATTTACTCAGAATGTACTTGTTGGATGCAATATACAAAAACAAGCTTTACATATAACTTGTCAAAGTTTAGAGATTATTTGCCAATGAGGTATCCTCACTCTCTCATCCAAAAGGAGATGATAACACCACATTTATCCTACCAAACAAAAAAAATGGCTCACCACATCTGCCCTTATCCCTCTAACAAAACAAATTTAGCTCATTCCAATCATCCAACCAAATAAATCATCCAACTCTCTTAAAAAAAATAAATCATCCAACCAAATAAAAAATAGAAAGGACATATAACATCCATCCTTAACAGCAAACCAAACACACCCTAACATGCCCCCCCCCCCCATAGTTCAAGCATGAGCAACGCGGATGTTTGGACTGGAGAAGAAACCGATGAGAGTACTCAAGAAGGATGATAACCGTTTGTGCCATTGTTAATGCAGCCAAGCGAAGGGTGTGGAATAGTTGTGGTCGATGAAGCCGTGCAAAAGGGGCACGGAAGGCAGAAGCAAAAATATAGTTGGATCTCAGCAAGTCATATTCTCATCAAATATGCCAGACCGACTTCTACACGTGTTGACATCAAACAAATCAACAAACAGGTAATTTAGCCTGTCAAATCTACAAAGTTTAATCCAACCTAATGTTTCACTTGCAAAACAAACCAGTTAATAAGCATTTCAAACAGAAACCTTCAAGTTGGGAGTGAGAATGATGAAGGGAGATGTGGCAAACCGGCAAACATATTTCAGAAGAGAAGGGGGTGGATCAACTTAGGCCGGAGATATCCAACACCAAACGTTATTATATGTTGGATGAATGAAGACAGGCTTCACGAGAGATGCATAAATTATGCAATGTGTTTAGCCACTGAGATTAAGCTTGTCGGTACCACGTCCCAAACATAGCAAAATGGGTCCACAGTTAAAAAAATGAACATATCTCAGTATCTCCTATATGTCCTTGCTTATACATGGAATCAATCAATACAACGTTCTCCTAGACACTGTTTGTAACTCAACTGCTATGTTGATTCTTAACTTGCCCTTGGGTCTACATAGGATTCTCGATTTATGGAGAAAAAATATATGGAGAAAGAAATATTTTGTACAGTACCAGTCTTGACTATTGACGTGTCTTGTGGCAAGAGATTACCAAGGACTTTCAAACAAAATTATGTTTACATATTCAAAAGTGAGATCTTGGTTTTCACAAAATACATCAAACAAGACTATCCCTCAAACAACCACTTTCACCTCCGTTATTATTATTTTGTTTTTAAAACAAAATCGGCTCAATATGAATGCAAATCTTATTCTTGTGACAAACTGACACTCCCAACAATATCGTGTCAAAATTTATCAGGTAGAATGTTGGACCCAATGGGTTTGGCTGTGGATGACAGGCATACTAAATTTGACAAAAAATCAATGTGCTAGGTTATAGCACAATATACTGGTATTAAGATAGTCAATTTGGAAAAGCAATAAAATTTATTAATGGTGGATGATTTGGCGGAGTCCTTATTTGATCAAGTCATCAGATAAAAGGTGCTAAACTAAACAACGGAACAATTTGCTACAGTTGTTTTGATGCAATGTCGGGTGCCCTAGCTTCCTCTGCTTGGCCTGGTTTTTGAATTAACGAAGGGTTCACTGAAAGTTTATTTGGAAGGAAAATACCACAATATAAATTTTTCACCATAAAAACTTACGAAAATGAATTTCATACTACATGATATCGTCTTAATATGTTGCAATGTGATTATAAAATAGTGTTTTATCATTGACCAGAAAAGAACAATTTCTGAATACGGTTGTTTGAAGAAAATTGAAACAATGGGTACTAATATTTCGGAACAAAATATGCTTTGATAAACAAACTCAATGTGCAGTACAACAATATTGCATTCCAATGATCACTGCTATAAAAACAACTCAACAAGCAGTTAATTTTGTTATCTTATAGAAAGAATATGTAGCACTCCCACAAAGAGGTTTATATTGTACACATTTCCTAATTAGTTAATCATATAATTAATTGGAGTTTGACTACATAGCTATAACTCAATAATAAAAAAAATAAAACAAGTCATGTTGTACTTTTCAGTCACTTAATAATGTACTAGCATGGATATGAAGGTAAACAAGGAATGACTTAAGTAATGCATGAGAATGTAACCGATTATTATTTTTACCAACAACATCATATATATTGTCTAGTAAATGTGAAGGAATGGAAATAGAAATGAAGTTTAGAAACTAGTATTTGTACTTAGTCCCTACTACTCCCTAGTTAATACATGGATTGCATCAGAAATCCCTACTTTCTTGCAAATACAGCTCTACGGAACTGCACTTACATTGGAATAACAACCCTTAATATAGCGCAGATGCAGAAAGAGTTTTTAAATTGGTTCTTCATGCAAAATATTTTCATTGATACAACTTAAACAATCAACAAGAAAGAAAACAATTAGCCGCATCATAAAATGCCCAATTCATCTCATTAACTACAACTGACCCACTTATTCTCTTTCATTCTCCTTTCTCTATTATATGGTTGTTAAATGATATATTCCCAAACTAAAGAACAGACAAGATATATTTGTAATTAACATATAATAAAGAGTTCTAATAGAAAAAAAAATCAGTGCATAGAATTCATGAAGGTAACATAAAATTCATGGGACTGCTAATTGTTTATTATGAAAATAATGGAAAAAAATACTTCATCAAATGGGAGAATATAAATAGGAATAACATGTCCAAACACAGCGTTTAAGATAAGAAGAGAATATAAATGATTGGGAGAATATAAATAGGAATAACATGTCCAAACACAGCGTTTAAGATAAGAAGAGAATATAAATAGGAATAACATGTCAGTGGCTGTAATTCTGTATGGTGTATACCATTATAGAGAAATGCAGATAAACTTACCTAGCACGAGATGTATTATGGAAAGACGATTCCACTATCGTCTTTTTTCAATTCTCTAATTCTCTACAGATTAGTTAAGAATTTCTGCCTTCTAACAAGTGAAACTTGTTACCAATGGGACAAGGAAGATGCGACAACCCAGAAAACCACCAGAACACGCATATTATTATCATCATATTCAGTATTTGAAGCTTACAGATGACAGATTTATGACCCAACAAATACCGCATCTAATGAGACAGATTTATGACCCAACAAATACCGCATCTAACGAGACAGAGTAACAAGAGTTAAGGCACACGGATACGCAGATGCATGAGGTACAAAGCTTATAAGGCATTACTAATCGTACAGACGTGTCGCCGGTGCCGGTTACTTCTTTGCGCCGCCGGCCTTATTCTTGTTGTCCGTGGAGGTCCCGCCGCCCGCGGCCTGCGCCGCCTTCTTCGCGGCCTTCTCCTCCAGCGCCTTCTTATCCCTGCGCCAAATCCAAACTCGAAGATCTAAGAACCCGCGGATCGGAACCCCGCGTCAGGCCGGGGACAGGGGAGATCGAATCGGGAGACACCGAGCAAACGGAAACGCACCTCTCGCGGCGCTGCTCCGGGGTGAGCCCGTCCTGGGGGCCCTTGGCGTTGGGCTTCCGCGCCTGCGCGCGCTCGCGGTCGCGGTCCCTCTGGTTGCCGCGTGCACCCCACGCCGCCGCCGGCGAGAAGTCAAGGAAGAAACAGAGGAAGAAGAACGGATCGCCGCAAGCAAGAACAAAAACGAGATCGCGACAAGGGAAAAACACGAATTCAAGATGTAGGGCAAAGGATATGAGTCATCTTCCTGATTCCGGGCTCCCCCCGCCTCGCCTCGACCTGGCTCCCCCACCCCCTGCCGGAGACGACGACCTCGCCGACGCCGACGACGACGACACGGACGGCGGATTGCTCGAGCTCCCCCAGGATTTTCTCTCTCTACCTCGGGGCCTTCCTTTTGTAGGGGGGAGTAATACTTGGGGAAGGCGGTGAGGAGTTTGCGGCAGGGATCGATTAGGACTAAAGGGAGACTGTTCTGTGGGCCCAAGGCTTTGGATGGCCCATATGTCAGTGATCATAGGGCGTACTGCCGGAGGTAGTTCTGTACATGCCGCCGCGCGAAGGCGCTAGACTACTCAACTACTCAAGGTAGTCGGGACGGGCTTTGGGCCGTATGGGCTAGCTCGGACCGGTTCGGGCCTTTGGTCCAATGGTGTTCCTGTTGGAAACTTTTGTTTCTTTTATTTTCTATATACTAGCAAAATTGCCCGTGCGTTGCAATGGGTGAAAAAAATTTAATGAAACTATACGTTTCACATGTATAACCATGTCAATGATAATGTTTGTATCGATCATTGTAACTAAGATATATCATAAGAAAAATTGGAACATCTTTAATGCGATGGGGCAACACTACCTATGCCTCCTTTACCGAAAAGAATTGGATTATTCATGTGGTTGTATACATATAATCTAAAATATTATTTGTAACTAATAATATGATTAATCAAATCCTACCTGTCTTGCATGGTCAACTCTAGACAAAACAGATATTAGCTATCAAGTCGCACGTAAAACAATATAAACGATGATTATTTTTCATGAAATCAGATGTTTTCTTTACTTGAAACACACAGTTCTTTTCGCATTGCACAATGCCGAACCGGATTTTTTTATAAGCGCATGCTTTTTTCGCGTTTGGTCAGACAGGTTTTTTAGAGCGGTTTTTTATAAATGCCTTTTTTTTCTTGCGTGGAGTCGGACTGTTTTTTTATCCGCTTTTTCTCGTGTGAATTCAGACTTTTTTATCTGTTTTTTATATACAACGGTTTTATCTCGCGTTGAGTCTTTTTCTCATGTGGATTCGGACTTTTTTATCTGATTTTCATATACAATGATTTTTATCTCGCGTTGAGTCAGACGTTTTCTCAGGCCAGTGTATTTATAAACGGCGTTTTTTTCTCCTCATGTTGAGTCAGGTGATTTTTCCGAATCGGATATTTTGAACAAAATTTAATTGAATTTGAACAAATATTACCAAAATTCACGGAAAAAAATAAAAAATTTGAAAATTTCGGCCGAAATAATATCATATCGGAGGGGTCCGAAATGATTGAAATTTCGTTCCAGAATTTCCAACCCTGGTGGGTGAATGTTCACCCACTAGTGAACTCGCGAATGGCTCGGAAAAGGAGGATTATTGGGTGCACGCGATGGAGCGGTATCAGTTATTTCCTTTTGTATTATCTTTTTCCTTTTTTCACATGGTTTCAAGCGCATGTATTCTTCCCTTCCTAATTTTCCTTTTTCATCCGTTCCTAATTAATTTTCCAGTTTTCCTTTCTTTACGTGATCTCATTGTAAGTACGTATTTTTTTTGTTTTTCCCAATTTTTTTTAGATTTTCTTTCCTTCTTTTATATAGCTTTATTAACTAAATTTTTTTATACAAATTATTTATGTGAAAACTTTCTACCTATAGATTTTATATATGTAAACTTTCCATATATAGACTTTATATATATATATATATAAACTAAACTTTATATATAAAAACTTTTTATATATAGATTTTCTATATAAAATTTTTGTGTGGAATGTTTGTATACATAACTTTATATAAAAAGCTACCACGAAAATAATTCATATATGTTTCTACACATGAACTTTATATAGAATTTATATGCAACTAAAAAGTTTAGTTTAGAAATTTCGATAGAAATAAAAAATTGCCTATCAAAACCAGATACTTTTGGAAAAAACAAAATCCAATATAAAAAAACTCGTAACAGAAAGCATCAAGTATGGTGGATTTGTTTTGTTAACCAGAAATCAAAGCTAATCTTGATCTGGATAATTAGGCTAATTAGGCATGAATGGAATGCTTTCAGTTCGTGAGATTCCCTCATCGCGAACGTTCATGGGCTAGACCCACCCTGTTCATTGGGTGCTACTCATTTATTTTTTTTAAGATAATATAAATGAATTCTGACATTTATTTTTAAGAAGTTATTATTGGCACTTATCCACCCCATAGTTCGAGATTATCTCACTGAATTCTAATGGCCGGAATAGCTCCCGCGTATGCCGTCATCTTCCCTCACCCCTGCGCCCCTAAAATCTCGCTCGTTTTCCTTCTAGTCCAACGTGGACATCGCGCTTTCCTTCCATTCCTTCCAGATCGCAAAATCCATCTTAATTGATGTTATTTACCCTTGGCCTGTGCTTGTTTGTATGCCGTGTAAACATCGCCGTTCCGGACGAACAGCTCTTCATCGAAGTCGCCGCCAAAGACGTGAGTAGTGAGCAAGGCAAGCCATGTCTCTCTTGATCATATTGCTAACCTAGTTTTTCAAAGCTATTTTCGCTTTAAATTATTGCATTTCGCTATGTTTAAATTCCCGCGTTATACCATGTTTAACTTAGCCGTACGTATAATTCCCTTGTTATGGCTTATATTTGTATTGTTATTGTGCCCTTGACAATCCTAGGCAAAACAAAACTAGTGGGTACTTATGCTACTACTAGGTGCTTACTAGAAAACTAGGAACATGCTTAGCCCCGCTTGAAATAGAAACTTTGAGTTTTTGGATCACTTAAGGCCTGGTTTAGTTCCTAATTTTTTTTTCTTCAAACTTTCAACTTTTCCATCACATCAAAACTTTCCTACACACACAAACTTCCAACTTTTCCGTCACATCGTTCCAATTTCAATCAAACCTCCAATTTTGGCGTGAACTAAACACACCCTAACTCTGGGTTGGAATATTGAACTTGGATAATGTTGGTTAGCGGCTGTTCGGCCGTGGTTAGTAGCTCTCCCTTCAAAATACCTCAAACCTTGTTTTCGGCTGGGCTCGAGGTGCTTGGTTTTGCTAGTCGCACCTCGGCCGACATAAGGACCAGTCTTTGGGGCACGATTGCAAAGCATTTTCCGTCCGACCACCTGTCTAGTGGGTAAGGCGTAGCGTATCACTTAGTGCGGTCTTGAGCAAGAAAGACACGGATATGGATGGATGAGGCTCAAGTCTTGCGCTGACGTTTCCTGGTAATCGCGCCCGGGGGCATAGACTGTCCACCTGTCCTAGAGTTTGTTGGTCATGGAAGTCTATGTCGGTCTTCCTTGTTCAGGGAAACAATGCACAATAGGCCATGTCACGGCTTCCGCCCGTATGCCATGGTGGCATGTGGCACGTGGTGACACGTGAGGGAGACATGTTGGGTGGGTAAAGTGGTACACCTCTGGCCAGAGTTAAATCTATTCGAATAGTTGCGCCCTCGGTTATGGGCAAGCGGAGCAATGACCCAAAGTTAGTGGTTTCTGTCTTCTAGGTTGGAACACATGGTTGGAGCTTGTGGGTTTTGGGTTAAGGTAAGGTTGTGTCACAACACACCTTAGGTAAGCTCGCGTCGTAGCGCGGCTTACACAAGTTCGCGTCATAGCGCGACTTGGTGGCAATTGAACTAGAGTTAGGGGCGTGGTTTAACAAAAATGCCTTCGAACTCTCTGCTAAATAAAATGCTCTTTCGCTGCAATTTAACCCCGTCATACTTATACAACCCTTGTACATCCTTAGCATTATTTTGCATTGTTCCGGCATGGTTTCTAAGTACGGTGGTTGTACTCAATCTTGCTCTGCTTTCCCCCTTCAGCAAAGGAGTTCCATGAAGATGGTGGGTTCGGCTTCTAGCTCATACCTGATGTCAAGTGCCTGTGGTTGCCCACGTGTCGGCTCTCGCTGCTTCTTCTTCATTTATCTTTGCTGTGTTGGGCCCTTGTTGCCCATGTAATAAAAGTATTGTATTTACGCTTCTACTTGTAAATTATGTTAATTACCGACTTGGTCATGTGTACCTTGCCTCCTGGGACAAGGAATTAATGCACTCACAAACGGAATCTAGTGTTGTATTTTCCGGGCGTGGCACTCTCCTTATCCCGGGTGGCGACAAGGCGGAAGGCGACGTGCGGCGGTGCTCGGCGGCGTACGGAGGTGAGAGGGAGGCAGCCTGCGCCCCTTGGTAGCGGGAGGCAGTCGGACGGAGCCCGTGCCCCTTGGCGGCGGGAGGCGGTCGGACGGAGGTGGCCCACGCCAGATCTGGAGGTGTGGCGCGGCGAAGACAGCCGGCATGGAGGTGGGGCCGCTGGCAGGAGAGGCGACGGCGTCGGCGGCCGGTGGATTCATCTGTCCCCCTCCCTCTCTTTGTGATTTGTGAGATATGTTTTTGGAGTTCATGTGTTGCTCATAGGAGATGTGTTCTTGGAATTGATGTGAGATCTATTGATGTGTCGATGTGAGTTGATCTAAGATTTATTTATGTGTTGATGTGAATTGATGTGTTGTTCTTGTTTATCATGTGGTTGTTCATCATGTGGGTTCATTTGTGGGAGTTCATCGGCTCGAAGTATCGGCTCGAGCCGGCTTTGTTTCTTTTGCTCGTTGATTCCATATTGGTGCTAGTTTTTAAGATTGACATTGGTGTCGGCGGACTAATCAATGCCGCCTTCATGGTGCCGTTTGGAAAAACCAGCACCTAAGGGGGTTTCCCAACCGACACCTTTTTGTGGTTCTGTAGTAGTGATATATTAATATCCATATATCATATCCGGTAGCTAGTACCGATAAGGATGAGGTCTGATATCGATAGGTATCATGTTAATCTAGTGCCTGGTACCAATATTTATGAGCCCGCATGATACCGATAGATATCAAGTCAGTACCCTTTAGGAACCATCAACAGGCTCGGTACCGACACATGTTAGGCCCAATACAGATAGGTATCAGGTTTGTTACCTAATACCGATAATAATTAGGCCATGTACCTACAGGTATTAGGCTCGATACCATTAGATAAGTACCCATCCCTCTTAAGCATATGGCCAAGCCATGGATATATATACTCTATCATGATTAGATTTTCATGTGGTGTAGTATGGCTATATCAGCAAGCACC